GAAATTTATGACAGCAAAATATCCAAAAGTCTAGCAACTTTTTTTGCTGAAATAGCCGTGTAACATTAATTATGCTCGGAATGCCATCACAGGTTTTCTAATGAATATGAAACTTTGCATTAGCATAAAAACGGAGAAGGCACCAAAAACGCCCCTCAAAATGGAAAATAAAACTTGCAAATAAGGTTAAATGTGACACAAAGATGTATTGCATTGAAAACGTTGCATGGGCCCTATGAATACGGTAAGTGTTCGGTCAGACATACGCAAGAAAACATTTAAGAAATAACGCAAGAGAAGTGTTCCCGACGGTACAACCGTTTCCAAACATATTACGTGTTCCGATGTCTTGCACGTCAAGAAATCGTCAACGTAAAAAAACCTTGATCAAACGTTTCAACAAGTAGAAAAGATCAACAGTGAAAAAGAAATTATCTTAGACCCTTTCAATTGATTATTTCGTTGCATCTTGTTTCCCTCATATCAGTTGATTTGTAACATTGTTCATTTTACAGTCATCAAGATTGTTTTTTTGGGGGGCGGGGGGGAAATGAACCTCGGAGAAAAATAGGAAAAATATCGATTAAAAATTCTTATTAATTTAAATGACCAAACGATGAAAGCGATTGCCCATAAACGAATAAGAAACGAAAAGCATGGTTATACGTTATAAGCGCACAGATGTTTGCTAATTTGAATGCGTCAACCGTCAAAAGGTTGCAAAGACTTAATTTAAGACTGCTACAAGTTAAGTCTTGAATGCACAAAAACGAAATAGGCTGCCCAAAAACGAAAACGAACATTCACAGCAAAATCTTGGCTGTCTAAAAATGAAATTGAATGAACCCCAAATGAAAAAGAAACCCCAATTGGACCACGTGTGCAAAACTCGCGCGAAATTGAATGGCTGATAATGAAACTGATTAGAAAAAATTCGGAAATTCGCTGGGAAAACCTATAGTAAACTAAATCACAGCGCTTACTTATTTTTATTACTTATGAAAAGCAAAGCCCCCCACGCTAGCCCCCCCCCCCCCCCCCCCCCCCCGTAGAACCGCGCCTGCAAACAACATTAACTTGCAGAACAGAACAAGGGAGCTTTGTTTTCCATAAATCCATGTTTCCCTAATTCACAGAATTCATCATAATGCGTCTCCCACAGACTCACAAAACATAGGAGTTTTGTGCTTAGTGATTCTGTTCGCCTAATTACAATTACAACATTTTCAATGGGGAGCGCCAATAAAATCCTAAAATCATTCACACTATATTAACTACAAATACACCCTTGTCACGACTATTTCTTTAGGGGGAAACCGTTCGCATGTACATCACAATCCTTCTTTTTTGCTAATGCAATTTCTTTTTACGGAATTTATTTTGGGGGGGGGGCTAGACAAAATGTTGGGGGGCTGAAGCCCCCCCCCTAGCCCCCCCCAGCCCCCCCCCCCCTAGAACCGCGCCTGCAAACAACATTAACTTGCAGAACAGAACAAGGGAGCTTTATTTTCCATAAATCCATGTTTCCCTAATTCACATAATTCATCATAATGCGTCTCCCACAGACTCACAAAACATGGGAGTTTTGTGCTCAGTGATTCTGTTCCCCTAATTACAAATTTCATGATATAAATTATAATGTGTTTCTAAAAGATCCTTTTTAAATTGAACTCACATTTCAACTCGCACAACATGGGAGATTCGTGCTCCGTAATTCTGTCTGCATAATTCAATTCATCAATAATCCAGTTCAATGCATGGGAGTTTTGTGCTTCCTGGGTCTGTTGGCCTAATTACAAATTGCATGCTATATTATAATGCGTCTCCCAAGGACCCGTTTTGCATTGTACTCGCATATCAAATCAATAACATAGGAGTTTTGTGCTCTGCTCTTCTGTTCGCTTGATTACAAAATTCATCATAATGTGTATCCAACGACACAATGCCTACTTACATATCAACTCATGCACTACATTGGAGTTTTGTGTTCCATAATTCTGTCAGCCTAATTAAATTCAGCAAAACGCGTCTTCCAAAGACTCTTTCTACAGTCTCTGTTGTGATGCGGGTGGCAGTTTTGTTAGAGTATAAAGATACATATCATCAAGATTTATATCAACTCACACAACATGAGAATTTTGTGCTCTGTAATTTCTGTCTAAATTTACTCTCATAATGTGAAAGATTGAAAAAAAACCCACTATTTTATATTTAAGAGCAATATGGCGGTACGCGGACAACTCTTTTCGAGTGTTTTTTTTTCACCACAGCCCATAGTTAGAAAAAAATCTAAAAGAGTACATTGACTTCTACTCTTTTTAAAGAGCATCTGCGAGACAAGTTAGAGTGTGTTTTTACTCTTTGACATTTTAGAGAGTAATAACAAAATTATTGATATTATTAATTATGTTGGTAATGAAACCAAGGAATCCTTAAAAGCATGAGGCAATGTAGCTCGCAAGCATGAGGAAAACTGCAGAGAGAAGACAATGAGAAAAATTAGATGGGGGGGGGACCCAGAACAGTATCCTAAGGAAAACCCACGGAATCAGGCAGGAACTAAAAAAAGGATATCCACAAATAAGTCCGGTCAATTTAAGTTAAGACCTAGAACAAATTGCAATAGAAATCATTCAAGCGTCAAATGACTTTACATAAATACACAAACAACATGTGAAAAATCTAATTGTTTCTATGGAGTGGAAGGGTGTTTTTCAAGCATTTTTTTCAGATAAAAAATTTGGGACATTTTATCCTCGAACAATTCGTCTGGTGACTTGATGCGATTTACATGTCTATATCAGATAATGTTTAGGATTCATGACCACATGGAGTGCAGCAGACGACTGTTTTAAATTGTAATTTTATACAGGGCACAACGGATGGAGTGGACGATTTTCCGCCGAAACTTTGCGCAATAAGTCCACAGACGAGATACAATTATCTGCAAAAAGGGCCGGGGATGTCTAAACATCATTTTGATCATACACAGATAGAAAGCTGTTGGACAGAGCATGCATGGACCGTTTTTAAAGTAAAGTGAAAATCTTTTATTTAAATATTATTGATTAAGCACCTGAAAATGATGCATTGGATTTTGTTAAGAAAATTCAGGAATTACTGGGCTCAGGTTGTGAAGCTTATATAGTGCATTTTGTTAGTACATGAAAATATAAAACAAAACCTCTCAAAACACTTGGATCACAAGGAAAAAAGATTACTGGGCGAGGTTGATGAGAAACAGATGTCAATGTTTTTCATAAGTACGGTACAGTAACTTTAAACAGCTAAATTGAGAAGATCATGAACGGGTTAAGAAATTGATTGAGACATCTTCTTGTACAATCAAGAGTGAAAAGAACAACTCCAGAAAAGCATACTTGAGTCCCGACAAAAAGGATTTTTTGGATGGAACAGACCTCGCGTTGTTATTACTAAAAAAAACCAGCTCATTGGCAAAAAAAAGAGATCTCATTGGCACGCCCCCCCCCCCCCCACCGCCAAAGGCTTTGATCTGGGGAACTTGTATTATTTGTAGACGTAATACACTTGTCACACTATATTTCGTTTCTCTAAAGCGCAGGATTCAGCTAAAAATTAATTTCACTGCAAAATTTTAACCCCGTTAATTTGCCAGGCTTTAGTAAGGTTTTTTGAGTAAACGTTAATTTTTTTTGGACAATTTATATCTTATTTATAAGTAATGCCAATGACCTCAATTCAACACAAAAGGAACACACGAATCTCGGATGTCGGATATTGTCCCTAATATTTAAAATTGGACTCTGGCCAATTGGCGTAAACACCTGAAATTTTAATGTAAATGGTCTCTTTGTGTATATCATTTCCGCCATTTATTCAAGTAGACCTGTTTATGCAAAGATTTTCTATGAAACAAATGTTTTTGGGCACAAGGTGATTTATTTTAACCAATAAATATTTCGGGAAGCAAAACAATCTCAAATTTCTCGATTTTTTTCAAGAAATATCCCATAGTATTATGCGGCAGTGTAAATTACAATATATTTTAATAATTGGTGGACATAAAAAAGTCGTCTGCTGTGATCAGTCGTGTCTCGCGAAGTCTCATATGGATTTTCTGACGAGTAACGGGCGCATTAAGCTCTCCATACGGCTGTTTACGTATGATGAACAAATTGTAGCGAAAAAGTGAATAAAAACACTTTTCCACTCGAATGATGAAAATAGATTTTCAGTATGCTAAATAGTGATATTTGCTTAGCGTGTTAGCATAAAATCAATTCTAATGCAATTTGTTTTAGGTCAGGCACTGTTCTGTTCTATATTGACCGGACTGACTTGGCGCAGACGGGAATTAACCCGGTTTAAAGCTCCCCATTTATGCGTATCTGATAGACCCCCCCCCCCCCTTTTTTTTTTTTTTTACAATGAACTCACATAGCCTATCAACTCACATAATATAGAAGTTTTGTGCTCCGTAATTCTATTTCGGTCCCTAATTTTAAAATGCATCATCATAATGCTTCTCCCCAAACCCTTTTTACAATGAACTCACATATCAACTGACATGGGAGTTTTGTGCTCCTTAATTTTATTTCTCCCAAGTTTGTCGGTACAGCGCTGGAGCAGTGGCGTCGCCAAGGGGGGGGGGGGGGGGGGGGGGGGCCTGGAAAACCTAGTGTCCCCCGAGTGCCCCCCCCCCCCATCAAATGCTGGTGCCCCCCTATCCTCTGCAAAATTCTGCGCGTTGTTAAAATCATTACCTCAAAAATAGCAAATTTCTTGAGATATCTTCAGATCGAATTTAGCATCAACTGTGGCACCATTTTGCATCTAGCCCATCCTCCGTATGCGAAAATTTTTCCAGGCACCCCCTCCCCTTAGACCCCTCCCCCAGGACGGCGATCCGTATCCACCTAAGTGCCCCCCCCCCCATCAAATGCTGGTGCCCCCCCTGTGCCCCCCAGACTGAAAAGTCTGGTGACGCCACTGCGCTGGAGACGGTGGCGGAAAGCGTGTGCTGCAGCCGAAAGCTTCTGAAGGAATGCAGGATCACCCTGATGCTACTGCACGCCTCCCTGATCGTGTATTGCGCCGAAAGAAGCAGATTCTGAAAGTGAGAATTGCTTTCGTATGACGTTTAAATATCACCCTCTAGCACAAAGCTGATGAAACTCGCTCCATAAAAAGTGTCATGCCTTGTTTACATGATCTGAAATTTTGGTTTAATTCCATTCGTTAACAACAGAGTTATTAAAGATCAACAGTAGGACACGTTGTTAACGTATTAGTACGCACATTGTACTACGACGAGGACAACATGTTGGCTGTTCCCCGCACTGCATGGGTGCACTTGGTATGCATCAGGCATGGCAGCGTGGCCTGGTGGAAGCGAACGCTACGGTCGGTAACTTCCCATTGCTTGTAGGTTAACTCGCAGGGAGACTTTCCATGTAAATTAGCCCATACATTTACCAAACAGAAGCACACACGCTATTTCGTTTTCAAAGGAACATGTGCAGCTATAGAATCACGACAAGTACGAAACAGCTCGATGTTGAGTCATAATGTTGACCCCCGAAATTCGTTCTCGAAGGATAACACAAAAACGGCTTAAGAGCTAAACTGTCTATTCAGAGCTGGTCATGTGATCGAAACAGGGAAACATTGTGTGAACTAGCTCATGTTTGACAACTCCAGAGTAATGATTTTTGTCAGTAGTCTGTAGTTTTTTTTATATTTTAGTGTTTATCAGTATCCGCCACTAGTTTGGAATGGTCCAAATGATTTGGATGCCATCACGCTTGTCATGTACAAACACATACATCTAACAGCTGACTCAAAAACACACGTATGTTATTCCAGTCCCAAAGGGTTCCTAAAAGTGTTAAGGTTCCGATGTCCACTTTTTATGCAGCTCGTACCGGAGTTTAGAGTTGATCACGACTACCCCTCGCCGATAGTGAAGTTGACAAGCCACATGTTGTTTTCCTTGAACTTGTCCACTTTTTCGTCGTGGCCACGTACCTGAAATCCCACGTTATGCATCATGATGGTATCGTTGTTTTCCTTCCTCCACTCTGGTTCCCAAAACATACTATTCGCATGCGGGAAACGATTGACGGGCAAGGGTCTGACGTCAATGCGTACCGGCTGGTTCGTGTGCAACAGGTCATTCATGACTCTCTGGTCGTGTTTCTTGTTTTTTGGATTCGCCAATATTTCCACCCACTTCTTGACGAACTTGATGGTCTTGTCTGTTGGCTTGAAGTAGGCCACGCCGGCGCAATAGTTGGACAGGGTTTGCAGTCTGGTCGGGTAAGGGGAGCGCTCATCCACAAGAGACATGTCAAAGTCCCCTTGGAAATACGAGAAAGGATCTTGAAACCAGAAGGTGTCCACGTCCGTGAAAAAAATCTCGAATCCCTGTTGCAACAGGGACAGGATGTACTTCTGGCGTCTGTTCACGAGGCGGTTATATTCGGGGCTGAAGACCAAGAGCTTGTCCGATGAGGCTTCTCCCTCGGCCGATTTCAGCACGGTTATTGCTGGGTCGCCCTGGGTAGCACTGAGCAGAGCCCGGTAGGCGTTCTTTTCCTCTGCTATGATGGTGGTGTTCAGGCAGACCCCAGTCCTTTTGATACTCTCCAACAGATTCAGTGTCATGTCCATGAAGGCGGTGTTGGTGTTGAGCAACAGCACAACACCGGGCTTCTTCTCAGTATCGGCCAAAGTGCAGCCAGAAATCTTCCCCCGGATGTCCACAGTGCGATTTGGTGGCTGCGAAGTCGCATGGTTGGAGAATGTCTGGACTCGCAGAGCGCTCACAGCGGCATGTGCCATTCTCGTATCCTTGCCCTTAGTCCTGTCATCGTGTAGCGTCGTGACATGGCCGGAAGAGTAATGATCTGCAAAAGAAACCAAAACAAGAACAAAGGCCAAAACTATTTATTCTCAGAAAGAGCATAGAAACAAAAAAATTAGAGAGTTGTCTGAAACACGCTTGTCTTTTCATTTTATCTTGTCAAATGGGACGAAAGTTGAACATGAATCTGTTTGATGAATTTGCGCAAGCACAAAAGTTAGCTTTCCACACTGCTCAGTGTAACGGACCCAGCTGTAGCTGAAGGGGGGGGGGGAAGCCGGTATTTACTATTTTTTTCTGCATATTTGTGTGTTTTGGGGGCTGCCCAAGGGGGAGGGGGTAGACCACCTACACCCCCCCCCCCCCCCGTATCTGCCACTGCCTTAGTTGACTTACGCGCCAACTTTACGTATATATTGCCTTAGGTTTGTTTATCGACCAAGTTTCGATCTATTGGGAAAGGGGAAGGAGGGATCTCAGTAACTAAACACGATGTTCCATGAGCGATTGACTTACATATCAACACGAAGACGCTAGACATTTGCAGAATGACCATAAACGCCAGTGTCAAACGTTTGCACTCCATCTTTCCTGCCGGAAACTTTCTGCAAAACAAAACTTTTTTTAAACTTAATTGTCTGTTTATTCCTCATTAAGAACAACATTCATGCATTAAATAAGTTCTTCAAAAGTTGGGATCCCCCCCCCAAAAAAAAGGCCTTCGGGCACTTTAGGTTAGACGCTTTGACCAACCTCCCCCCCCCCCCAAAAAAAAATTAAAAAATAATAATAATAATCTATTTTTATATATTCACAAAAATAATGACTACACAACGGTCATGTTCAAAGAAGCAAACAAAAACCGAAAAATGATTCCAGGGGAAATTTGTAAACATTTGTTTGGCGCAGTTTTACAAGGATAGAATATCTTATCGACTTCCGTCAAGAAATCAACACCCCCCCCCTAGGGGGGGGGGGGGTTGCGGAAAAAAGGATTGGCAGAAACCGTGGCAGAAACCGTATTGTTTGACAGTTTGAATGTGTTGTTTGCTGCCGGTCTCCCATAGGGCCTACATTGAAAAATGGGTGTCGATTTCCCACGGAACGCATGTGTGCATTACGCACACAAAATTCTGACAAAACACAAGGTCAACCCTATTGCGCATACGTTTGCAAGTATATAAGGTACTCAACAACTTTGCAGGTCAGATTTTATGCTTTCGAGCGTAGCTTCTTTTGAAAAAACCCAGACAATGACAAACATAACAGGAATGAATGGGGTTGAAATATTGGCAAGGCCGTAGCCAGTACTGGTTCAGTTAAACTCTTACGGATATTTTTTCATACGATTTTTTTAAATGCAAAAAAGACACACCAGGATATATGTACACTCTAAAAAATAGTTGCTCAATATTGGGTAAAATTACTACCTTTTCGAGAGTAAAAAGGGAACATGGTCGTCAACTTGTGTACTTTTTTTACACAACAGCTAAAGTGTAGAAAAGTACCCATTTTAGTGTAACTTTTACCCATAATTGTGTTACGTGTTTGCACAACAAAGTTGGGTAAGAAAGTTTACCCATGTGACGACCATGTTCCCTTTTTACTCAATTATTGGGCAAACTTTACCCAACCCTCCTTTTACCCAAGTGTTGTGTCAGTTTCTTACCCAGATATTGGGTTCTAATTTTTACCCTGCATTGTTGGGTTCTAAATCTACCCATCACTTGGGTTGCTTTTAAATTAGTTGTTGTGTACCTTTGTTATTGATCCTTGCGGTTTTATTCAACTTTGAACTCTGCAATGTGAATTGCATGCTAGAGACAGCAATCGCGAGGGATTTCAAAGTCATTTTCAAAGTCCTGGGTTGGAAAGTCAGTAAAATGAATAAGATGATATTTCCCTAAAAATGGTGCTGATGCATGAGGACTATTACGAGGAACGTGGGCTAAATGATGGGCAAGGGGTGTTTGAATTTCCCTCAATCAACTCATTCAAAAACAATTCCCCAAATGTAGGTCACTTTACTCCGTGTTTCTAGATCTGAGAACACTCACTATACGGTACATGAAACGCATGCATCATGTGCATGGAATCGTGGTTGGCAGAGCCGTGACATCCAAGATGCAAATAAATGTCAAAATAGTAAGCATGTCAATTCTCCAATCTCCCCGATATTAATCCTCATACATCAGCATCGCATTTGGAGGAAACAACACTGAAATTCATTTCACTGACTTACCTGGAACAAAGAAATCACGTCTTCAAAATCCCCAAATTGTTGAAGGTCTCACAAGCGGCGGCCATCTTGTACATGAGTGATGACGCATGCACAATATTGGGTAAACGTTGTCACGTGCGTCAGTTTACCCTACACAGTGGTAACTTTTACTAATGTCGTGGTAAATTCTACTCTTCGACGTGTACAATGAAAGAATTGTTACACAGTGGTGGGGTAAATCCAGTTTCTTTAACCCATCACTTGGGTAATAATACCATGATTTTAACTGTTTGCCTGTGCTGCTGGGACTTGTAGTCAATGTTGGGTACTATTTTACCCTTTTCATGTGTAACACATTTGACACAAGTAGGAGGTACAGGCGAAATTTTCATTTTGCTCAATATTGGGCAGAAATGACACAATTTTTTTACACAACAGTTTTACACAACATAAATTTACACTTCTTTCTTAGAGTGTAGTAAAGTGTATCGCATCAACCGTCTGTCACATTCACGTCGTATGGGTCATACAAAGGCCTATATCAAAGTGATACAATTTATACGTTTTGTAATTGTAGTACTTTTTGTGTTCCGAGGTGGGAAGGAAATGATTCCTTCTGTAGGTTTTACAAAAATGTACCTCCGACGTCCACTATTCCACCATTTCGTTACCAAATCCATTTTCTTCCAGTTAAGGCGTTGGGATGAATACTATCTGTTTTCCTTGGCAACTTCGCAAAAAAAAACAATCAAATTCATCTTGATAGTGGCAGATTTGAAGCGAATTAGCTCCCTGTTGTCATTCCCGTGGTTCGTATTAGTTTTCAGACGTCCAATTCGTTGTCCGACCTGACATTTTCATGTTCAACACATCCTAAGTTGAAGTTATGTCATTCGGTTAACTGATCATTCTATTTAGCAGTCTATTTGGTTTAGGGTTATTTGCATAATTTTTCTTTATTCAAAATAATGGGAAACAAAGGCAAGATGTTAGTTCTTTTGTGTGTATACTTTTCGACTGTTCTTTTTTATTGGTTTCATTCGTTTGTTAATTTTCAAAGTAGGCCTATGTGCTATCTGTCTTTAATCTAGAGAAGAAACAAAATGCAAATTAGTGATACGAGAAAATTAAACATGATATATAAAAGTCGACGTATAAACAATAACCATGGGCAACATTGAACCAAGGGTGATCCTTTCCACTCTTTTTCTCGTGTACACGTATACATGTAGTTTTTGTTATAATTATGTTCCTATTTCTTACCTTTTGCCCTTTTGTCTTCTGTTTTAAATTGCGAACCGTGTTTTGTTAAATGTCTAAACGTGATTTTGTTTTTATTTAATTCAATTTGCTTCATCTTAAACATGCTTTATTTCACTAATAACTGATGTTTCTTTTTGATGTGCAAACAAGAGGGGGGAAGTGATTTGGCTATTTTGTGGCTGCAGCTTTGTGGCAGAATCTTGTGACAAAAGTTCTCATGTACTTTCCAATTGGAACAAAGACACTCTATTGAATTCTAAAGAACAAATTAATAATATGAACCGGTTTCGAATTCCTTTGCTCACATTTCACAAATGTTTGCTTAATGGTGAATTCGAATGACCAAACTGACGCAACTGGAAGCTCGAGCGAATTTGAATGACCCAGTGTGAAGTTTTAATTTGAATGCATACATTTTGAAATTGAATCATTCAAAAGTGCAACCGCATGCTTTAAGATTTAAATGGAACGATTTATTTATTTAATTGAATGTTGATCTAAACGTGCATCGAAATTCGTGCGGAAATGAGTGATTCGTATCAAAGTGACTGCCAAATCTATTAAACTGACCGGGAAAACCTATACTAATGCACGTACTCAGAAGACGACGTTCAATCAAGTCTAATTCTTGCGCTGTACCCTGTGGTTTCTTGCTTTTTTGCCCTACACATCAAACTCGTGGGGGTTTCCTAAATAATCACTGAAAGTTGTTGAGTAATTGTACAAAAAAAAGTGCGAGTGCACAATAAGCTCTGGCCGTGTTGCAAAAAGTCTTGAATGAAAGTCTTGCATGAAATCGATCAAAATGATTGCCAGAGCTGAAAAACGCGACGCCGAAAAATGCGACGCCGATAGCACAATGAAATATCATACTTTTGGTCAGTTTTCGAGACAGACAGACAGACAGACAGACCGACAGACCGAGTGACATGTGGAAGCTCCTGCCAGAGCTTAAAAACAGGACTCTGCTCAGAGGACTCCCATAATGCGCATAATGCCGAATACATGACCGTGTCCCTTACCGACAGAGTTGTAATGACTCGAGTCAATGACTCGACTCGAGTCCGACTCGAGTCACATTTTTTGGCGACTCGACTCGACTCGAGTCCCTCATCAGAATGACTCGACTCGACTCGAGGAAGGCTAATAAGACTCGAGTCCTAAAAATAAAAGCAAAACTTATTTGCGAAAAATATTTGCAATGACTTACGCCGCGCCGTACCAGTTTTTGTTCACGTCACGTTATGTTCGCGAATAATGTACGTTCATGTACAGCGGCCGTCTGTTTTTCTTCCTCCATAATACACAACAAACATACACCGTGTCGCGGACTCCCATCTTGTGGTTCTATAACATGTAATGCTAAACCCTGAACCAGACTTCGTGGTTTCATCATTGGTTTCGGGCGATTTCTTATTAAGCTCATGACTGACCACATATTGAGCACTATGGATCATCTGAGTGTCTCCAACCCACAGGCTGGTTTGTCATATTGGGAGACTTTAATCAATTGAATATTAATCCACTTATTGCAGATCAGCATTTTCAACAAGTTGTGGACCAACCAACTAGAGGTAATAGTATTCTTGATAAGATTATTACGAATATGAGTGATAAGTATGCGATACCCCAAATCACATCACCAGTTGGCATGTCAGACCATAACACTGTACTTTGGACCCCAGTGTGTAATCCTCGAATTAAAAATGCAAGCAAATTGTGTTCGAGGCGTCCTATGCCCGAGAGTGCCAGGCGTTCCTTTGGAATGTGGATAAGTAATTATGACTGGGCTCAAGAGTTAGATCACACTAATATTGACACAAAATATGAAAAGTTTATTGAGACCTTGAACACAAAGATTGATTTATATTTTCCGGTTAAAAGAGTCAAAATTCATACTACTGATAAACCCTGGATGACTCCACAAATCAAAAGGTTAATTAAAGCACGACAGGTAGCTTTTCATTGTAATGATATGGTCTCCTGAAGAAGATTGCGGACGAAGATTATAGCAGGTATAGCCGTGGCAAAGAAACAGTATTATGCCACTCGGGTTGCAAAACTCAAACAGAGTAAACCATCGGCTTGGTTTCACCGAATTCGCATGCTTACTGGTAATGA